CTTATTAATTATTATTTAAAACTTATTAATTATTACAAAATTATTAAAACAGGAGAATTCTATAATTTAAATTCTTCTATGAATAATATTTCATCTTGTATATTTTTCTGGACTTATACCAAAGAAATATCCTGCTTGCGCCTTTTGAATTTATAAAATTCAAAATTTATAAATTAATCACTTCGTTATGAGCGACAAGTATATTTGACGGCCGCAGAATGACCCACACCATAGATAATGGTTGCATGCCGGCTGTGAGCGACCTTTTGCGGCCAATAGATGCCGTACAAAAATGGTTAATATGGGATAACACATGTCAGAAAATGTATGTGAACTTTGTTTTCTCAAGGTTGTAAGATGCTAAAATATCAAATGTCTACGATAAGTGGTTGAATTATAAATTTTCATCAAAGTTTGTAACAATGACCAGCGCTTAAAATTAACTCGGTATTAAGTTTGATTCATATACTCTTCTTTTTTCTATGCATTGCCGTTGATCTACACTTAAATAAAAATGCATTTTTAAAACGCAAGCCTTGCACCAAATATTCGGCTACTATGTTTGTTACATGTTTATATTATAAATATGAATCATTCAATGATTACACGCATGTGTTGTAACAATACAACAAAGTCAATCGTTATACTCAATATAAGCATTTCTAAATAAAGAGCTATTATTGGCTTTTTATCGCAAAGTATACAAACAATATTTTCGATCATTTTTTATTTATTTTATTATTATGATTAGCATTCTTAATATATAAAAAATAATATTGAGTTTATAAAAGAAAATATTCAATGTTTATGAAAGGAATAATTGGATATACATTTACATATATGTAAAGAATCGTTTTTTTTCCTGATTTTACCATTTACTTTCCTACCACAGGTGGCATTCTTGTATTCGGTACTTGGCCGAATGGTGTAAATGATGCCAAATATTCCAAATAGAGTAGCCGAATAGCGGTAACAAGTCTAGGCATAAAGCTTGAATAAACATGTAGCGCGTTAGTAATATAACAATTACTGATAGTAATTACCTTAACAAACAAGCTTAAGCGCCAAAAACCTGCCGATTAGTTGCCGAATATTTGGTATTCGGTCTCTGGAACATACCGAATATTCGATATTCGGCATTATGCCGAATATACTATTCGTTGCAAGCCTAATGATTAAGCTAGATATTCGACTAGATCTAGATATAAGTCTGTTCGAATTGAAAATTAATTTGGCTAGATTTTAGAAAATGCGGCTTTTTTAAATAAACGAGTAACAATTTAAAAAGTTAAAATCAATTCTTTTTGAGTTAGTCGATTGTGTACATCTATCGGGAAGTTCACACAATTTGTCTTATAGCAAACACAATCTCATTATTGAACAAATTAATTGCTAGAACTCCTTGTTTAGAAACTAGTAATATAACCTATCATTTTTCCTTTAACATGTCTTTAACTATGGTCAGAAGCGAAATGGAAGAGAACCAATAATTTGTGACAAATTTCAAAAACGACCCATATATTCATCTGTAGACACAGGCATAATGGCAACACATAAAGATCCCATAATCACATCAAAAATGCTCCAGGATCATCTTGACGTGATACAAAAATGGTTAAGCTTGTGGAGAATAGAAGTTAACAGCAGCAAGTCAAAATACATCACTTTCACTCTTTGCAAAGGGACTTGTCCTGCAGTAAGACTTAATGACGAAATTATAGATCAAACAGATACAGTCAAATATCTAGGTTTACACCTGGATAAGAGACTAACCTGAAAAGAACACATTAAGAAAAACAGAAAGCAGCTTGAAGAAACCAGAAGAAGATATCATTGGCTCCTTGGACGAAAATCAAAACTTGACACTCATAATAAAATTTACCTCTATAAAGCCATCATCAAACCAATTTGGACATACGGCATACAGCTATGGGGATCAACTTCCAACACAAACGCTTTAATAATTCAAAGATTTCAAAACAAGTTATTAAAAGAAATTTTGAAAGCACCCAAGTATGCTCCAAATTGTTTAATACACAAAGACACAGACACTAGCACAGTTAAGGATGAAATAATCGCTTACTCGCACAAATATAGAAATCGCCTAGCTGATCACCCGAACTTGCTCGCAAGAAAACTTCAGAACAACTCTACCAGGGCTCGATTAAAAAGAAAATTTCTTCTGCACTAATCAACAATAGATAAGACCTTCGACAAATCACTGACAATGGTCAGATAATTTGTATTTTGCCAACGCCTTCAGTTTCATGTCAAATATTTTACTTATTGTCCGTTTCAGGACAGTTGTAAAAATTATTAAAATAATAATAATAAAAAAAAAAAAATATTCATCTATAAAACGGCTTATGTTTATTTACCTATGGAAACGACCATAGATAAATATGCATAAACGGCCTATCGGCGCAGGTAGTGCCACAGACATTAACTTTTTAAATTGTTACTCGTTTATTTAAAAAAGCCGCATTTTCTAAAATCTAGCCAATTCAATTTCCAATTCGAACAGACTTATATGTAGATCTAGTTTAATAATAACGTTTTGTCTATGCATCCGACTAACCCGAAGAGTGATCCGACTATTGCCGATTGAAAATGAATGCCGATACTCTTTGGGAACGTGCGCAAATACTGTTTGAATTTGGTAGTTAAACGATTTTTGACATATATTTACTCTGTTTTTGTTAAACTTGGGTTAAGTCAAGTGTGTGCTTTGATATTCAAGAGGAGACAAAACATTTCAATATCATTGAAATGTAAGTACCATGAGCTACTATAACCTAACAATAAAAGATATATTATTGAAGTTTTGTTCATGTGCCATGTATGTAGATTCAGAGGCCTGTTCTTATTAAAAAAAGAAATTTACACCGATTGCCATCTAAAAACCTCAATTAGCAAGATGATTATATACCATTCAATAGCAGTAGTTCGCACCCAGGTATGTAGTTAGTTTCTAAAGAATTACTTATTTGGATGTAATGTTGAGTTCAATTACACTGGAAGTGCCATTAATTATTAATGGCATTTTATGTAAAACTTACTCATTGTTTTGTGAATAACCTATGACATTTTTTACATAAATGTGTTCATCATCATCATACCTTCCTTTGTATTGCTTCTGTGGGATTGCGACATATATAAAAGTACGGACCAGTTGTTTTGACTATCATTGCAAACAATTCAAATTCTTAAAACTATGGATGATTTTTTATGCGCAAATGCTTTATCTCTAACCTTATCAGAACAATGTACTTCTTCGTTCATCAGTCGAATATGGAAGAACTTCCAAAAATTGCTAAACCGAATAGTAATAACGTTACTCATTATCATCAGGAACAGTTTATAAAGTAAATCAACTATTTAAGCATTTCTTATCACAAATCACAATTTTACTACAAAATAAAGTATCGTCTAGGCACAATGAACCAAATCTTCAGATCCACAGTGGTATCTTCTTCGAGTATATTTCAAAATCCTAAATTTAGATGTAGTATTTGTTTGAAAATTGTATAAACTGTATTAGAAAAAAATTTAAACATGTCTTTTTGTTTCAATAAGCTACATAGCTTTATGCACACAATAAGTATCCATTTGAACTTCAATCTGTATCTGTAATAACTTTTTAGATCTGTAATTTATAGGCAAATAATATCTGATGGTTCTATCGAGAATGTATGTGATAATTGTATATCAAAAACAATATCACATTATAAATATTGCATCAATGAAATATTAAATCTGAGTAATTTGAAAATAATAATACATTTTTTGTGGAGTTTTTCA